CCAAAAGATGACAGCCGGGATGCCAGCCCACCTGAGCCTGCCAGCCCCACCATCGGCCTGGATAAGAAGACTCGCCGAAAGTTCCTGGACCTGGGGTGAGTGGAGGAGGGGCCAGAACCTAAAGCTTGGAGCTGTCGGGGTACAGCATAGCACAGTGGGCAGCACCACCCCACTTCCCTGCCCTTCCCACAGGGTCACCTTACGCCGAGCATCCACTAGCAAGAGCCGGAAGGACAAGGGCAGCAACCGCCTGTCCATGGGCAGCAGGTAAGAGGTACCCATGGCACCTCAGCCACAGCTTCTGCCTATAGCTCCCTGTGGGCCCAGCTCTCCCCTCGGTGCCCACACCTATGCAGGGTGCTTTCTCCACAGGGAGTCAGTGGAGGGATCCAGCAGGTCAGGGGGCTCCCCGTTCCTGCCCTTTTCCTGGTTCACAGACAGTGGCAAGGGCTCGGCATCCTCCGGCAGTACCACCTCCCCTGCCTGCTCCCCTAAACATGAGAGCTTCAGCCCTAAGAAGTCAGCCTCTCAGGTAAGTCCATGGCCTTCTTGCCCCTATACTGGCTCTCAGGCTCAGGTGACATGATGGCATACTTCACTCTGGCTCGGGCTAGGATCCAGGCATTCCTAGAGTTCATTTGTCCATCCATGGAATCATTCAATGATTCATTCATTCATCCATGAGTTTATGTATTCACTTGTTCACTCATTCATATTTAGAGTAGTTCATTTGTTGATTCATTCACTGCTTCATTCAATGCACATCAGTGAACACTATGATTCCCCTAGTGTATACCCAGCCTGAGGTCTCCTCCATTACTGCTAACTCTTCTGCCTGGCTCAGTGCTAGCCCCACATCCTGTCTTAGGAACTGGGCTACAGTTTGGGGTATACAGAGATGAGTAGGACCCCAGCCAAGCTAGTGTTCACAACCCTGTGGGAGAAGTGAGACTAAGTAACAGAAACAACGAGTGTCTGCTTGTGTTCACACAGCACTCTACAGTTTATAAAACTCCAAAGGCATGTTTGTGCTTTACATTCGCAAAGGCATAGTGAAGTAGGGAGGGTAGGCATGTCCACCCCCATTGTACAGATGACCAAATGAAGGCCCAGAGAGAAGGGACTTGCCCACAGTTGTGCATGGATCGAGTTGCCAGGCTCTCTATGACCCCCATCTCAATGCTTGTTCTGTGGGTCTTTTCCTTATGCGCAGCTGGGGCAGAGGAGAAACTGGGAATTCAGGGGAGAAGGGGTCCCTTCTGACTTCAGACTTCCTTCTTTACTCCCTCCTAGCATGCCCTCCCTTTCTTCCTTCCCTTATGCTGTGCCCTGGGGCTACCATAGTGAATAAACACAGCTCAGGCCTTTATAGAGCTCACAGTCCAGTGAGGACAAGGACCTCTAATCAGGCACTTATTAGCCAGGGCGCTAGAGGCCATGATGGGGAGGCTCAAGGCAAGGACCCCTGACCCAGCCTGGAGGAATCCTGGTTGACTGCCTGTCGGAACTGACATCTAGTCTGAGATATTCATTCCTACTAACTATTCTGCCTGGCTCAGTTCTAGCCCCATGTCCTCCCAGAGGCCTCAGATACTAATGCCTCGCATGAGTCACCATGTCATATGTGCCTGCCCAGTTCCAGGTTCATGCATAGGGTGCACTGAGCAACGGCTGGTACCTAGTCCAGGACTTCATCTCCTTCTAGATGAGGGTGGGTGGGTTAGGGGGGACTCCCTTGGGCTGCGGGCAAGCATTCTCCTCAGTGGCATGCACCCTCTCCTGTCTAGGAATCCACTCTGAGTGATGACTCCACACCCCCCAGCAGCAGCCCCAAGATTCCAAGTGGTCCCCGGCAGGAGGCCAAGTGTTCTTACCCCTACCACACGCTGTCCCAGTCTTCAGATGAGGTGAGCAAACCCTGGCCTCTGACTCTGCCAGGTGTGCAGGGCAAAGGACACGTATTCCCCCCTTACTCTCCTTGGTCTCCACCCCAGTTCCTGGATGAACCTCTCCCCGCTGTCCACCATTGGACCAGTCAGCAGGTGGGCCAGTGGCTGCACAGCCTCAACCTGGAGCAGTACGCTGCCGAGTTTGCCGCGCGGCAGGTGGACGGGCCGCAGCTTCTGCAGCTGGATGGAAGCAAGCTGAAGGTGGGTCATAGTAGAAGGGCCCCAAGGGAGCCAGAGCCTGAAGTAATTTTCAAAGATTAGGATCCCCTCATCCTGACCTCATCACTCCCTCTGAGGCCACTGCCCTGACCTCTGACTTCTAGGCAAGGTCCTTGGCCTAATCATTGCGCCCTAGCATGGGTCCTCAGTCTCACTTGAAACTGAAGCTCAGTTTGGTTTGACCTTCAAGCTCCAGCCTAAGTCTCCAGGGCGAGCATATCACCTGACTCTTGATTCTGATAAGACTCCTGGTATCGTGGGAAGCAGGTCTCTCCCCTAATCACCTTGTCTGATTCTTAGTCTTGGAGGCCGGTTGTAGTAGGGAGAGATTTGGGGGTTGGGGGCTCTGATCTCTGTGCTGGGAGGTTTCTGGCCTTGTCCTACCCTCTGCTCAGTTGCTTGGGGAAGGGGTGGAGAGGAGAGTCCCCCAGGAAGTCTCTGGAATGGGGAGAGGCCTCCCCAACTACCAGCAGTGTGACCTTGGGCAAGTTGCTCTCCATCTCCGGGCCTCAGGGGAATGGCAGGGTCATGCTAAGGCTGAAATCTTAAGTGGAGAAATGGAAGCCAAAGATTGTGGGAAAGGGAATGGGGGTTGGCAAAGGTCCTGGTACTCTCCATCCTCATCTCTCCCAACCACTTGCATTCCAAAGTCTTGCCCTGATGGTCCTGATCTATCTGTAAGTCTGGGAGGTAGAGGCTACATTTCAGAGAGGACTGGCAGAGCTCCAGAGAGAGTACGACACCACACCGAAGAACCTGGGGGTGGTTCCTGGGGGTGGTTCCTGAGCGCTTTCCCTCACCCTCGATTCCTTCCCTAGAGCCTGGGGCTCAGCAGCTCACATGACCGGGCACTGGTGAAGCGGAAGGTGAAGGAGCTGGCAGCGGCTGCTGAGAAGGAGCGTAAGGCTCAGGAGAAGGCTGCACGGCAGCGCGAGAAGCTCCGGCGCAGGGAGCAGGAGGCCAAGAAGAGCTAGGGGAGGGTGAGGCAGGCACGGCGGGCACAGGCCTCCCCAGGGAGGCAGGGCCTGGGCACCAAGCTTGGGCTGGCCTGGCCCCGCGCTCTCAGGGGGTACAAGCCCTCTCTCACCCTGTCAGTCTGTTTGGACCGAGATCCTCCAGGAAGGGACACGCCAGCGAGAGGGCCCAGTAATAAATCGATTTCAAGGACTCATTTGGCACGAAGTTCCTGGGGGAGGTGGCAGATCATGGGAAAAGGGCAAAGAGACCGGAGCTGAAGCCAGTCTAGGGGCCCGGAGGCACCTGGGTCAGTCTGACCCTCTGCCCTCAGGCCACGGTGGTGCTTGGGCAGCAGTGAGTTAGGATGCCTGCCTGCCTGCCTTCCAGAGGCCCTGAGACGGGGCTGGGGTCCCAGGATCCCAGGGCTCGGAGAGGTGGTTGAGCATCTAGGCAGTTATTAGGTGGATGGAGTTGTTCCTCTCCACCTCTCTAAGGTGGCTGTGTGTAGGGAGAGCTCTGTTCTGTCCCCAAGGAGGCTGGTGGGCACTACAGCAAGCTGCACTCGGGGCAGACTCTCAGTCGGCCTCAATGAGAGAGCAGAGAAAGCAGCATGGCTATCCCATGAGGTCTTTGCAAGGACCTCAGAAGGGAGGATGAAACCCTCCTCCTTTTCCCCTTCTCTGTCCTGTAGTCTCATTGGTGAGATGACATCCCTACAGGTCCGCCCCTCCTAGAGTCCAGTCAGGCTGGGCTTTGGCTTGCTCTCCAAGCCGGGTCCACTTCTCCTGCTGCTTCCTCAGAGGGCACCTGAGCCCTCCCTGCGGACAGCACAAACTTGGGAGCTGGTAGGGACAAAAGACATTTCTTACCAATGCCTAGGTGGGACTGAACTGGTGAATTCTCACTCTAGTGAAGCAGAAGCAAATCTAGGTCTCCTGGAAGCTGCTAGATTGGAAAGGTTTACCAGCCCTCCCTCAACTGCTCTGGTCCCCAGCAGGATCTCAGTGGGCTCCAGAACTGGAAGTCAGTGCAGACTAGTTCACAGACTACGAGGAGGGGTGGAATGTGTCCCAGCAGCTCACAGATGGCATCTGTCCTAGGGAGGGAACATTCAGGTACGGTGCTGGCCAGCAGCTGGGCCAGATTCTAGAGTACTGGCCAGAGTAACCGATGGAGCCAAGAGGCCTCTGATTAGAAGCCCTCCTCCACATCTTCCTATCTGCCCAGAGCGGTGGACAGGACCCAGTGCATGCCACCTCCCCTCATTCCTGCCCAAGGCCTGTGGCTTGAGGGCCACTTCTGTCCCTGGGACCCATCCCTTTCCGTCTCTCTGCTATCTGTGCTAGGAGAGGGGCTTCAGAGGGAAACTGAGACATGGGGGCACCGGCACCATCTGGGCCCGGTGGAGGGGCCAGCGGGGAGACTGGAAGGCACCCAGATCCCTGAAACTATCAGGAGCTATATGGGTGCCAACCTGCATGTGAAGGGGGATAGCAGTACTCAATTTATTTCAATAAACACTTATGATGTGCCAGTGACCTTTCTATCTGTCCCAGTGGGGGATTGGCCTGGGTCAGGGGCTGTGTTGTGCCCTGAGGGGGGTGGAGGGACATGTCTATCACTGGGTGCCACGCTGTCAGGTGTTCTGAATGGATGCTATGCCTGCTGTTGTGCTCATGGTACACAGACGCATGCACTGAGCTGGGCTGAGTGTCCCGAACACGTCATATGCTGGTCACAGGGACTGCAATCTGCCTACGTTTGTTTGTGCAGTGTGGATCTCCCTCCCCACAGGAAAGCAGCCAGGCTGAATTCTCATTGGATCTCCTCTTTACTGTAGATGTCACTGTCACCATCACAGCCACTGGGAGGAGCACACAACTTTAACCCCCTGTGTGCTAAGGGGAAGGGTGGGGGCGTTCAGGGCTATAAAACTAGCTATATACACAGAACATTCTAGGGAGAAAGCCACCCCGAGCACGCGTGTGTCCGTGCACAATGGGAACTGGGGTCTGGAGCTCAGGCAGGCGGTGTGGGTGTAAGGCAGGTGGGTGGGTGTATGCACATTAGGACATGCGGGGAAGGGCTTGGGAGGTGGCCGAAACACTGCTGGGGCCACCTGCAGGGCTTCGAGCAGCCTAGCTGGGTGCTGACCTCAGGGTCCGCCCTGGTAACTCTGCTTTAAGGGTGAGCTTTAGGGGTGAGCTCCGGGTAAGAACTCCTTCCCTCCCAACCTTGACCTGAAGCTCAGAGTGGAGGGAGGGGCTGCAAGACCAGGTCCCAGACCAGGGATCCAAATTGCAACCTCTTTCACTACCCACCACCCAGACCTGGGGGACACCTGGTCACATTCTAACACTGACACAAGACCAGGGCTGGGGTGCCTGTGTGGGCTAAGGGAATAAGGCAAGCAAGAGTGTCCACTTGGAAGGCCAGGCTGTGGAGGGCAGTGAGGGGGACCCAGGACCCCTGGCAGAAAAGTGGCAGCTCTGGTCTCAGAGAGGACTGCCACGGAAATGTATCTTTGGGGCACTTCAGCACGGTAGAGACATCCCCCAATCCTCAGAGATCGCCCACAGAGATTGGACACTGGGGAGACCACTTAAGGGTCGCCGTGGAGACAGAGATTGGCACTTAGGGGCCACCACAGACTAGTCACCGCAGTGGTTTCCACAGACACAAGCTGGTCATCAGGGAGAGCCTCTTCCCACCTGGGGGCGGTGATGAGGAGGGTCACCGTGGTGGCCGGCCCCAGAGACAGCAGTCCGTCCTCTTGGGTGGCCCCTAGCTGACACGGTACGTGGACGTGTTCTTGGGCTCCGTACTGGGCACGCACCAGTCGCCGGCCTCCTGGATGGTCTGGTAGTGGCGCCAGGCTGACTTGTTGTAGACGGGCAGGCGCTCCACCGAGTCCGTGGACAAGGCCTGGAGAGTATAAGGCTCAGCCTCTCCCACTGCCCTGCGCCTTGCCTCCTCCTCAGCAGACCACCCTGGCCCCAGGGTGCACTCTGGGGGTCACTGACTATGGCCCACATGTCAGTCTAGCTAGGTGCCGGACACTGAAACAACCAACCCCAGCCCAGGAAGACCCTCAAAAGGGCCGCTCCTTCTGTGTCTTGCTCCCACCTACTCAAGGAGCCTGCTCACTCAAAAGGCCATGGAGGGAGAGCAAGGAGACTGGGCTCTGTGACCTTGAACAAGGTCAGCAACTCTGGGCCTCCATTTCCCCCAAGCTAAATGGCAAATTCTCTATGATCCCCCCTTCCTTCTGGTATAACAAGTCAAGGGGCCCCAGAACAGAGGTCTTCGTCATGGACCATGCACTTCCTCAAATTGCCTGCCAAGTGGGGAGCATCTGGGGGTCAGGGAACTGTACCTTTGTTCTGATTTTCAGTCTGGAATTGGGAAAGGATTGGAGGGATGGAAAAGAAACCTAACAAGCCGACCTGCCTGACCTGTCAGCAAACCCCCCGGCAGGGCACTGCAGGCAGAGGCCCTCACCTTGAGATAAATGACAGCGTCGGTCCCAAAGCCTTCCATGGAGAAGAGCTGCAGGTCCCCCTGGAAGTACTTGGCATAGAGACGGGAAATGGGGAGACCGTACCCGAAGCCGGCCTGCAAGTGGGCAGGAAGGAAATGTATTGAGGAGGCTGGTGCCTCAGCAGCAGATGTGCTGAGTGAGCAGTGCTGGGCCGGGATCAGGCAGGAGTATTCCCAGAACTGAGGTGGGAAGGGGTATGAGAAAGGGAAGGCTCTGAGGCAAAATGGGGGCTGTGGGATGAAGACGATCAGTCTAGGGGAAGGAGGAAGGCTGAGGAGGCACTGTGGGGGCAGAGAGAGTTAGCAGGGAAGGGAGAGAAGCTGGGCCCTGAGAGCCAAGGGGTCTGGGCAGGTCACAGGACTCCTCTAAATCTTAGTTTCCCAAGCTCAGTGCTGCCTGCTCTGCTGGGAATGGATAGAGAGGTGCTGATGAGTTGAACAACACCAAAAGACAAGTAGTAACTTTGTGGGGAGATAGAGGAGAGAGGGAGAACTGTGGGAAAGTGATGGACAGACACCTCCAGATAGGGAGGTGCAGGCTGGAGAGAGATGGGAGGAGCAGGGAGGTCCAGCCTCCAGAGAGGTGACTGACATCACACGCAGCCACCCAAGAATGGAGAGACCATGGGAGATAAGGAAGCGAGAGACAAAGTGACAATTTGATAATGAGAGATGAAGAGACAGATGGGAATCTTTTAGAAGGCAGGAAAGGAGCTGGAATAAAGCTTTCTCACCAGTGGAGTCCCCCCAGTGCCGAGCTGGGGGGTGGGTGCTGTGGAGTACAAGTAGCTGAAGAGTCGCTCAATCTTCCTCAAGGGGACACCCCCACCTTGGTCACTCATCTGGGGGAGATGGGACATGTCAGAGGCTCTCCAGACCTGTTTTTCACACACCCCCACCCCTTGACACCCTTGACCTTCTCCTGGTCTTCCTCATCCCCAGGGTCTTCCTGAACCCATCTCCTGGCAGGAGGGAAGTCCCCACCCCATTTCCCTCTGGCTCCCAAAGTCAAGGGTCACATACTTTGATGGACAGATCTTCCTTGCCCAAGGCCACCATGATCTTGATAGGTGGGAGAATGAGGCTGGATTCATGGCTTTCCACGGTTGCTCGCATGGCATTCTGTGGAGGGAAAGA